CCAGTAGACCGGCAGATCTGATATCATCGCCACTGTGGTGGAATTCTCTTAAATCCAGAAAAAACCCAAAAAAATAAGAAATAAAGACGCAGAGAAACGAGACCGCCCTGTCTGCGCCTCTAAAAAGGGTACACATATTTTAAAGGCGCATAACTCAAAATCTACAGTACCTGTCAAGAAACCGTAAACTACAAAAATGTGAAAAATAAAATTCTAAACATTTTCGTAGTCGACATCTTTTTTTTAGCTACTGTAGTTTTTGAGTTATGCGCCTTTAAAGTATGAATACCCTCCTGAGAGGCGCAGACAGGGCGGTCTCGTTTCTCTGCGTCTTTATTTCTTATTTTTTTGGGTTTTTTCTGGATTTAAGAAACTAGAGACGCAGAAAAAACGGAAGAAAAAGAAAAGAAGAAAAATCATAAAAATGAGAGATTTATGATTAAAAAAATTTTTTTACACAAATTTTTTTTTCAAAATTTTGCTCCTAGAGCTCAGGTTTGCTCAGGTTTTAATTTTTCTAAAAAAAAGTGTGGGAAATTAGAATCTTCTTTGAGAAAAAAAATTGCCTGAAAAATTTTTTTTTTTTTGTCTGAAACTCAAATTTTTCCAAACTTTTTCTTATCAGTAGTAGCTGAAACTATCCTTTTTCTAGTGATAAAAAGTTATGATTTTTGTTGCCCGACCTCTTTCTAGAACCTCTAAAAATGATTTTTTTTTGTTAATTTTTGATTTTTTCAGACAAAAAAATGTTGTCTGAAAAAATTTTTTCTCTTTTTTAAAATTTTTTCTTCTTAGATTTTTTTTTCGTTCCTGATGTATGATTCTAGAATATATCTTAGCATTTTCTTGAATATCCGGATAATCCTAAAAATCAGAAAATTCCGAAAAAAATTTTTTTGAAAATGTTTTTTTTTTTGAATTTTGAGATTTTTAAGGGATTATCTTCTTATACTTTTTTTAAATATATACTCCTTATACTCCCAAAAAAACCTAAAATTGAAAAAAAATAGAAGAGACGCTGAGAAACGAGAGTATCTAGCTGTCTGCACCCTCCCCTCCCTCGGGCCGGGAGGTGTGCCTACTTTAAAGGCGCATAACTCAAAAACTACAATACCTATTAAAGAGTTGTAAACTACAAAAATATGTAAACATAAATTTCAAACATTGTTGAAGTCAACAACATTTTTCTAGCTACCGTAGTTTTCGAGATATGCGCCTTTAAAATAAGTGCACCTCATGTATAGCCGCAGACAACAATACACTCTCGTTCGCAACATTAAAGGCTCATATCTCAAAAACTATAAAAGCTAGAAAAAGTTGTAAACTACAAAAATGTTTGAATTTCAATGGTTAACACTTTTGTAGTTCACAATTTTTCGCTAGGTACTGTAGTTTTGGAGTTATGCGCCTTTAAAGTTAGCCTATCCCTCCTAAATGGAATTTTTCGAATTTTTTTTCTACCAGCTTTTTTTGTCTTCTTTTGTTCTTGTTTTCTGATTTTCTGGTCGTTTTTTTCTTGCCATTTTTTTTCGTGTTTTCTTATTTTCAAAAAGAAATAAATAGAAGAGACCCAGACAGACAAAAATAATATAAATGTTATGTGTGGTTTAGGAAAAGCTCACCCTTTTCCTTTTAATCGAAAAAGAGTGTAGTTTGTAGTTTTAGACTTTTTTTTGGAGCGAAAATATTAGAAAATTCAAATTTCCAGAGTCCAAATTAGTCTAGGAGAAAATTTTTAAGAATTTAGAGAAAAAATTTTTTTTTGGCAATTTTCAAAATTCAGATTTTGTTTTTCTGGAAAAAAAGAGTGTAGTTTGTAGTTAAAAAAATTTTTTTAGAGTAAAAATATTGTAATTTTTGAATTCCTGGGGTCCAATTTACCTTAAAACCAATTTTTCAGAAATTTTTTTGGATTTTTTTCCGAAAAAATCTGAAATTCTGAAATTTCAGCCAAAAAAAATCAATTTGTCTGAAATTTTCCAGGCAAACTGCTGCATTTGGTTCAGCCTTCTGTCCAAACGTCTTCACTCGATTCACCCGTCATTTTGTGTCATTTTTCTAGTACTTTTGGTGCTCAAAGCAGTCCAATTTTTGATTTTGGTGAGTTTTTGGGAAAATCTGAAAATTTGAAAATCTGAAAAATCAGGTTTTTGGAGTCTAGAACGTTCTAGAATGGTCTAAAACTGCCCTAAAACAGAAGCAAAAAAAATTTTGCCACCGAGAGGAATCGAACCCGGGTCGTTAGATTGTTATCGAAAATCCCACTGAGCCATTTGTACATTTTTCTGAAAATTGCTCAAAAACACCCAAAAAGCGTGTTTTGAGCGTTTTTGATGCTCAAAATGAGTCTAAAATGTAATTTTTCCCCTTTAAATTGTATTTTCAACAGATTTTCAGAAAAACTTTTTTTTGAATTTTTTTTCGATTTTTTGGAAAATCTAAAAGTCTGAAAATCCCGTATTTTGGAGTCTAAATGGTCTAGAATGGTCTAATAATGCTTTGAAACAGAAAAAAAAAGTTTGCCACCGAGGGGAATCGAACCCGGGTCGTCAGATTGTTATCGAAAATCCCACTGAGCCATTTGTACATTTTTCTAAAAATGCTTTAAAATCGTGATTTTTGCCAATTTTTTGAAATTGGAAAGGGTTTTTTACTATTTTGAGCTCATTTTTAACATTTTGAACGCTTGAAAATTAAGTTTTCAGCTAGAAAATGCACAATTTCAGGCATTCGAGTCGACAGTCGATGCAGGCGTCATCGCCGAGCTAATACTACTCATGGCTGAAACTGCACTGTTGTCAAAATCGACAAAACGGCTTGGAGAGAATGTGAGAAGCTGAAAATTCCAGAAAATTCCAGAAAAAAACCCCTAAAATTGCAATTTTCCAGGAAGAAAAGTCCAAATTGACGCCAGAAGAGAAGAGCTCGTTTGTTTCTCGAATCTTCTTTTGGTGGCTTAACCCATTAATTAAATCTGGCGCCAAAAATCCGTTGACCAATGAGAATTTGCATAATTTGAATCAAAATGCCACGTCAGAATGGTTATACACACGATGGAGGGACGAGTTCCGGAAGGAGAAGGAAAGTAGGTCGAAAAGGGGCGGAGCTTGGGTTTTCCTAGTTGAAAATAAAATTTTTAAACTTAGCAGGTTGAGAGGGTTTGAATGAGTATAATCATGCCAAGGTTATGATTACTTTAAAAATTCGGATCCCTTATGCGCCTTTAAAGTCAAAAAATGTCAAAATCTCAACGTGGGCGGAGCCTAGTCGTGTTGGGGCTCATTTTGAAGCCGAAAACATAAGAAAGCTAAAAATATAGGTTTTATTCAGAAATTTTGAAAATTCTCCAAGTTATGAGCAAAACTAAAAATTTTGGAAATTTTCAAATTTTCGTTTTATCTCATAACTTTTTAATTTTCCGCAATTTTTAAATAAAACTTATATATATATTGAAATTTAGCAAGTGAAGAACTTCAAAATGAGTATAATCATGACCTACTTTCTCCGAATTTCATTTTTCGGACCCCCTATGCGCCAATAAATGTCGAAATCTCAAAGTGGACGGAGCCTAGTCGTGTTGGGGCTCATTTTAAAGCTCTTGACGAGCTAAATTTGATTTTGTTAATTTTCAATATCTAAAAACCCAAAACTTCAGACAGGAATCTCTAAAAACATTTTTCCAGAAAACCCCGCCAAAGAAACATCGATCGTTTGGCCATTCATTCGAATCCAAAAAACCACTATTATCAGTTTAACACTTGCCAGACTCACAGCCGACTGTGTCCACTATCTCAACCCAATTTTGCTCAAGTGAGTGGGCGAGAGGCGCCGAGAAACGAGAGTGTCTCGCTGTCTGCGTCTCTTATCAACTTTAAAGGTGCATATCTCAAAAACTACGGTAGCTAGAAAAAAGTTGTAAACTATCAAAATGTGTAAAATTGAATATTAGACATTTTTGTAATTTGTAGTTTGTTTCTAGCTACCGTAGTTTTTATGCAAATTTTTGACTCCATGAGAGTGAGAGCGCAGACAGCTAGAGTGTCTTTTTCTCTACGTCTCTCACTTTTCCACACTATTTTTCCAGACAACTCATTGACTACGTATCTCTACACGATCAGCCATTATCCTTTGGAATCGCCATAGCTTGCATAATGTTCTTATCAGCCACCACAAGATCTTTGTTACAGAATTATCAGGTATTTGGGGACGCCACCTTAAAAGGCGCATAGCTCATAAGTCACATTAGTTAGAAACTTGAATTTTGTATTGTTTTAAAGCCCTTGAAGAACTACAAATTTTAGTTTTTGAACTTTTCCAATTGCTCAATTTTGAACCGAGATATGCGCCTTTAATGTTAGGAGGGGGCCAGAGGAGAGACGCAGAGAAGCGCTCACTTTAAAGGCGCATATCTCGCAAACCATAAGAGCTATCAAGAAGCTTTCAACTACGAAATTGTTCAGTCTAAAATTTTACACATTTTTGTAGTTTAAGACTTGCTGCTAGCTACTGTAGTTTTTGAGATAATTCAAAAATTCAAAAACAATTTTTTTTTTTCGAAAACTTTTTCAAAATTTTTTTCAGATCGCCGGAATGTGTCGTCAAGCGGTCTACTATCAGACAGTGCTGAGCAATGCAATTCTACACAAAATTCTGAAATTGAGCCCATCAGCCAGGTCAAATCGAACCGCTGGAGAGATTCTGAACCATGCCGCTGTGGATATCGAGATTATCGTTCACTCGATACCGTATTTACAAAATATGTGGTCTGTACCGTTTCAAGTAAGATTGTCGGGGTTGAAATAATTAGAAAAATCTAGAAAATTTGATTTTGAACATTTTTTCAGTTCGCAATTTTTTTCTAGCTACCGTAGCTTTTGAGATATGCGCCTTTAAATTAGGCGACCCTCCTGGTAACTTTAAAGGCGCATAACTCCAAAACTACAGTAGTTAGACACAAATTTTTCACTGATAAAATGTTTAAAATTGAATTTTAAAAAATTTTATAGTTTACAACTTTTTCATAGCTACCGTAGTTTTTGAGGTATGCGCCTTTAAAGTTTGCGCGCTCCTCTCCCCTCTCCTTCGTCAGGAAATGAGGCGTGTCAACTTTAAAGACGCATAACTCAAAAACTACAGTAGCTATGAAAAAGTTGTAAACTATAAAAATTTTTAAAATTAAATTTTAAACATTTTATCAGACATTTTAAGAATTTGTGTCTAACTATTGTAGTTTTGGAGTTATGCGCCTTTAAAGTTACCAGGAGAGTCGCCTAATTTAAAGGCGCATATCTCAAAAACTACAGTAGCTATTCACAAAGTGTCAACTAGAAAAATGTTCCAAATTCAATTTTCTACATTTTCCTGGTTTTGGATTTTTTCTAGCTTCTCCCCTTTTCCAGAAAAATCTATTTTTCCAGGTCACTCTCGCGATGACTCTCCTCGCCATAACCCTGGGGTGGGCCGCGGTGGCTGGTGTCATTATTATGATTTTCTACATTCCTATGAATTTTTTAACCGCGAAATTTATCAAATTATCACAACAGAAGCAGATGAAGATTAAGGATGAGAGAACCAAGTTATCGAATGAAGTAAGTTAAAGGCGCATATCTCGAAAACTGGAAAGCTAGAAAAAATGTGTTAACTACGAAATTGCTCGGCATAAAATTTTACACGTTTTTGTAGTTTACAAAATTTTGATAGCTCTGATGGTTTTTGAGATATGCGCCTTTACATTTTGCTGCCCGCGAAGAGACGCAGAAAAGCGTGAGCACTCTCGCTTCTCTGCGTCTCTTTGTGGGCGGCAAAGTTTAAAGAAGCATATCTTGGCTCAAAATGTAGTAAATTCAAAAATTCAAAAATCAAAATATGTAGAATTTAAAGAGCTACAAAACGATATTAAACTTATTAGTGTTTTTGAAAAGTTTGAATTTCAAAAATCGATATTTGAAAAGTAGACACTGAGCTTTAAAATTATGTATTTTCAAAGTTATATAGTTAGCTATCAATAAGTTTTAATAACCAAAATGTAAAATTTTGAGAGCTACAATTTGATAATTTTCATGTTTTTGTAGCTACTGTAGTTTTTGAGATATGCACCTTTAAAGTTGACGAGCCTCTTTGTCTGGCGCCGAGAAGGGAAGCGCGCCAGCTTTAAAGGCGCATAGCTCAAAAATTACAGTAGCTAGAAAAAAGTTTTCAACTAGAAAAATGGGTGAAATTTGCTGAAATTTCATTTTACAATCATTTCGAACTACAAAAACCTCTTCCAGATGCTCAACGGAATCAAAGTAGTCAAGTTATACGCGTGGGAGGAGTCATTCGAGGATCAAATCAATCGGTTGCGAGCCAAAGAGGTCAAAATGCTCCGAAATGTGTGCATTTTGAGCAGAATCGTTGATGTGGCAAATGCGGCGAGCCCATTTCTGGTGGCAATTGGCTCATTTACATGCTATGTGCTCCTGTCAAGCGACGAGAATGGGCTAACACCTTCTGTGGCGTTTGTGGCACTTGTTATCTTTAATCAGTTGAGACAACCAATGAGAATGGTGGCTAATCTTATCACCACACTTGTTCAGGTAAGTTTTTTTTTGGTTGGAACTTCTAAAAAAAAAAAAAAAATTTTTCGAAAATTTTTTTTCTGAAAATTGTTCATTTTCAGATGCAAAAATGCAAAAAATGAGCTTGAAACCGTTGAAAACCCCCGAAAAAAGTCTGAAAAATCATTAAAAACGACTTTTTTTCAAAAAGCAAAAATGGCTCAGTGGGATTTTCCAAACTTCCACTATCAATCTAGCAACCCGGGTTCGATTCCACTCCGTGGCAACATTTTTTTGCTTCTATTTCAGAAAGTTTTAGATCATTCTAAAAAGTTATAGACCCCGAAAATCTGAAATTTCAGATTTTTCAGATTTTTCGAAAAAATCAAAAAAAACTTTTTTTTCAAAACTTGTTGAAAATACATTTCTATGATGAAAAATTGCTCTTCAGACACATTTTGAACACCAAAAATCCTTTAAAACTTCATTTTCCAGCGTTTTTGAGCATTTTTCAGAAAAATGCCAGAATGGCTCAGTGGGATTTTCCACACTTCCACTATCAATCTACCAACCCGGGTTCGATTCCACTTGGTGGCAAACCTTTTTTTTTCTTTTTCAAAAAGTTTTAGATCATTCTAGAACGTTCTAGACCCCAAAAATCTGATAGTTCAGATTTTCAGATTTTCCAAAAAAAAATTTTTTTGCATTTTTTTTTAATCTGAAATTTTTTCCAGGCTCGCGTCTCGAACAAACGAATTCGTCAATTTCTGAACGAAGAGGAGATGGAGAAAAAGACAGAAGTGGCGCTAGGAAACGCGATCGTCTTCAAAAATGCCACACTGAACTGGAAAGGGATCGAGCATCCACCGGTGTTGAGAGATGTGAGTTTTTTGAAGGCGCATAACTCTAAGACTATGGTAGCTAGCTAAGACTCAAGTTCAAAAAATGATCTGAAATTGAATTTTATACATTTTTGTAGTTTGTAGTTTGTTTCTAGCTACTGTAGTTTTTGAGATGTGCGCCTTTAAAGATGCAAGAGAAGCTAAGAGGAGAGAAAGTTTAAAGGCGCATAACTCGAAAACTACGGTAGTTAGAAGCCAAAGTGCAAACTACAATCTTGTAGCTGTTAAAATTTTACATATTTTGGTTTTTGAAGTTTTTGATAGCACTGATATAAAAAAGATACACTGATTTGAACTTGACAAGATGGAAACGGCAAACTACAAAAATTGTTGAAATTAAATTTCCTACATTTTTGTAGTTCAACACTTTTTGATAGCTCTAACGGTTTGCGAGATATGCGCCTTTAAACTTAGCTCGGCCAGGCCTGTGCGGCAACAAATTGCCGATTGCCGAAATTGCCGAAATTGCCGAAATTGCCGAATTTTTGTTGCCGGTTTCGGCGAAAAAATTTCGGCAATTTCGGCAACTGAAATTTTTTTGAATTTAGAGATTTTCACAATTTTTTAGTCAACAAAATGATTTCGAAGTTCGAAAAATCAAATTTTGAACACCATCATCCCTCAGAGTGAATTTTAGAGGAAATGTCTCCCAATAATCATCAAAAATACTTGCATCGGATCTAAAAAAGAGCTTCAAATTAGTGATCATAGGAGAAAAATAGATATCATGAGTCGCAACTCATCTAAAAAATTATCCAATCTGTCTCAAATCTCTAGGGAACGTGTGTCGTGAGTTGCCTAACAAGTTGAGCGCACTATTTTCAAAACTCACAATCGAAACAAATATTTTCAACCATTGGAATACTATCTATTGTTCAAGATAAGTAGTTTGCATAAAAATGTGGTCTTGAGTTGCCAATTTTTGTCATTACTTATTTAAGGAACTTATGGAACACATTTTCTGTAGTTCTGAGCCTGATATTGTCTATTCAATAAAACGTGGTAGGAGTTTAAATTATGTAAAATTTAACGCTCTACATTTTACTAATTTACAACTTTTTTCTAGCTACTGTAGTTTTTGAAATATGCGCCTTTAAAATTGACGCGTCGTCTCCTCTGGAGAAGGAGGGAAGGGGGAGCGGAGGCGCGCCAAAGTTTTAAGGCGCATATCTCTTGAACTACTGTAGTTAACAAACTTTTAAAAATTGTGAATTATAGTACATTTTATTTTCTTCCAAATACGGTTTTAAAAATTTTGCTAGCTACAGTAGTTCCTGAGATATGCTACCCTAAACCAAAATAAGCTATCTGATACTAGTCTAAGCTAGCCTAAACCAGCATAAACTAGCTTGAGACAGCTATAGCTACGCGGTCAAGGCCAAAAAAAAAAAAAGATTTATGGATTTTCCAAGAAAGAAGAAAAGAGAAAAAGAAGAAAACGATGAGATGACTGACGTTCTGCCCCATCTCCCTCTCCTTATATACCCCTCATCTCCAGTGGGCGGAGTCTAAACCCACCTGGGTTTTT